TAATCGCGACCTTGGCCACTCTCTCCAAGGAGGAATAATTAATTGAACTCGATCGAGAGTTCTCGAAGTGTGTTCCTTGCCCGTGAACGTTTACGCAGAAGAGATTGCGATGAATTAGTGGTACACTTAGAAAAGGTTGTCGCGTATCGGTCGAACGTTGGGTTTCAGTTAACAGCGAACAGGATAAGATTTTATAATTTAGATTTGTAATTGGTTAATGTTTTAACATTCAGAAGTTTATAATTGAAATTGCTCGATCGTGAATTTAATACAAAATTTAAAGAAAAACTTTATCCCTGTAACTCATCGTTCGTCGAAATTTTTTACAATGAGGTATATTTCGATATTAATTCGCGGTATGATATTTCTCGAAAAAAAAAAAAAGTTCATTTTCATTAAAAACGATTGCAAACGCATCGCGGGCTGTTTTTCCGTCTCGTTCTTTCCGTCTCATTATTGTTAAAAAAAAAGTTTTTCCGCGCACGATAAAAACTGTTGACTGTTAAAATATTCAATGTAAATTCATTCACCTTGAATCCTGATGTTGTTCCCGGGGAAAATATCAAGGAATGCCTGTTCCTTTCCCGCGAAAGCGGTAATTTAAAAAAATCGAGGGATTCTGGGAGCAACGAGAGAAGCAACAAGAGACCCCGGTGTATGGTGAATAGACCGGTACACCGTCCGGGATAAAAATCGACGAGCAGGAACGAGTGTAAATGAATGAAAAAGTGGAGCAGAAATATGTCTGTGAAACTGTGGACTGGGAATGGAGAGAAAGAGAGAGAGAGAGAGAGAGAGAGAGAAAGAAAGAGAGAGAGATATAGGAATGTATAACTGAAATGGAGCGAAAGGGGGCGGTAATTGTGAGAGGGAAACGCAGAAGCAGCAGGATGCAGATGCATTGAAAAAGTAACGTGAGAAGCGAACGATGATACGGAGGAAATGATGGAAATATAAGGATCAAAAGCCGGAGAAATAGAAATAAAAAAGAAAGAAAAAGAAAAAAAGAAAAAAGAAAAAAAGAAAAAAAAGAGAGAGAGAGAGAGAGAAAAAAAGAGTGAACGGACGTGGCTGCACACTGGAAGAACACTGAAACAAATGGAAGGAACGGGAGAAATGCATATATAAAATGTAAAAGCCTGCTTTTCAAAATTCCTGACTCGCCACTTGGAGGTACCTTCGTTTCAAGTTTGAAAATTATTCCATGTTAGATATGCCCCGCTTGAATACGTGCATCTGCCTCGGCAATAAAACGTATAAATTGTTCCGCAATGGAAAAAAAAGAAATAAACCGAGAAAGAGGCTGAACGTTACATGAAAGACGAAATTGAATGATATACATATATATATAATAATAAAAATTAAGAGAAGATAAAATTTAATTTATTCTCCTTTTCCATTTTTTAAACTTTACTCTCACTTTCCGAAAATTCTCCTTTCTTTCGATAAACCGGAAACATTCGCCGCCCCTTTTGATAGAAACGAAACGTTTTTCCATCAAAACGTTCGATGATCAATCAAAATTTCGTCTCTTCTTCGAAAGAAAAAGAGAAGGAAAAAAAAAAAGGAAACGAGTAGAGAAAGAGAAAGAGAAACGGAACTCACGCTCTCGGTTTTAACGAGAGCGAGGAGAGGAGAAGGATACCGCGCTTATGCGGTGGCGCTAGCGACAGAGACAGCCGCGCCTCTGGTAAGCGGACACGGAACGAAACGAAAGGGAGGCGGGAGAAGGTGCGAAAAGGATGGCGCGTTTTACACGCAGGCCTTATTTATGCGCACCGGCCGGCGACCTCGGATAAGAGTTTAACACCGCGGCATTATTTATTCGAGTTGGCGCGCGCGCGCACGTTTCTTTTAAAAGTTCCCGTGAAAATGATACCTCCGCGATGAATATAAAACGCACGCCCACGCAACCGACATGCCGACACCGACACTCTCTCCGACGCCCGGCCCTCGGATATTATACGAGGCCCTGTTCACACGCGCGCGATCGGCGTTAACACCTACACGGACATCCGCGGCGGCTGCGGGACAGCGGAGAGAGAGCCAACTGATTGGGGTGGCGATCGTGGCTGGAGAGGTGGGCTGGAGGAGGAGGGGGAGGAGAGGAGGAGTCGGTGTTGCAGGTGTACAGGCCTAACATCCCCTCGAAATCGGAGAATTCTGCTAGGAAGGAGGAAAGAAGCGCCCGGTTTAAAGTTTCGCTTTTCGAGCGCGCCGCGCCGGTTTTGGCGCTCGAGTGGAGGAAGACGTAGAGTTGTTTCTTCTCTTTTCTCAATAGTAACTTTGAACTGCGAAATGCTCTTAGCCAAGATTTGATATACGAATTGATATCGTAAGACACCCCGTGTTAAGAAGTGTTAAGAAGCGTTTGACGCTTACTTTCTAGTTACAAGAACGGTTAAGGAAGATGAATATCGATCGTAGAGAGTAAAAGTTGGGTGTGATAATAAATTTGGATATATTTGGAGATGTTTTTATTTATATATCATTTGCATATTATATGCACGTACTATTCCATGAATGGAATACATTGAAAGGTCAAAGTAGCGGGAAAAATTTCGTGGAACATTGGTTCGTGTTAATGTCGACCGCTTCGTATCATATTGAACCAGATCCAAGATCTGTACTGAATTTCAAGCAACTGTTTCGCGAGAAAATGAAGCATTCGAATGATAACGTGAAACTCGTGTTCAATCAAAGCCGCATACGTGGTACACGTCGAAAATTCAGAGCAGCTGCAGCTTGCTCAATCATTGGCAGATATTAAACGAAGAAGGGAAGGGAAATTGGTTAAAGGAGAATAGAAACGTAATGTTCACCTGTAATTGATGGCGTTTTACCACTTACAGTAATAGCTAAGGCATTAAAGTATGAGACAATCAATACCGAGGTCGTTGTTCGTTGAATGTTGAAAAAGCCGTAGAGGAACGTGCATGGATGTTTGATTTGAAAAATTAGATTGTGATAAATTAATACGTTTTCTTATTAAGTTCCTCGATGTATCGATTTGTCTTGTAATATCGGCGATTATGAATATTTGTAGGAATTGATCGAAAATATTTCATATTAAGAGATGATTTATTTTCTTTCGGGTCTAATAATTTTCTAGATATCCAGTAATTTTATAATTGTTTAGTAGTACTCTAATAATTTCATCTCATTTTTCTATTAAAAATCTTTTTTTTTTCTTTTTACTTTATTTTACTCGTTAAAATCAATTATTATATTACTTTATTATATTGCTCGTAAAAAGCAATTATATGAATTAAAGTTTTTTAATTCCTCATAAAAATTTTATTTTAGATTATTTTTATCATATTTGAACGTTTTGGTTGCAAAGCATAATATAAAGATATAATATCTTGACTACATTTTAAATGTATTAAATGTATTGCAATGTATTAAATTTTAATTTCGCATATTATACTAGATTCGTCAGTGAACTGAATTAATTTTAATTAGTTAGAAACTACTGTATTATTTATTTTAGTTTCACAGTTTGAAATAGATTTAATACATTTACATAAGTGCTATATATAAAACATTATAATTAAAAATTTATTTCATATCGATAAATTTAAATTTAAAAAAAAGTTTTAAGTAAGTATATATTCAAAGAAAGTATTTCCAAAATAATTTCCTTTTTCCTTATTTGTGCAACGCACGTTGGAGCATTGGAAATTCTATGTGTCAACGACTAGTACATGATCTTGAAATAAATGTTTGATGAATAAGAAAAGATAGTGAAAAATTGTATTTAAGTTTGCATCGAAATGAAATACTTTTATAATTATAAATGGATTAAATTTACGGTATACCAATTGCTTATCCGAAAAATTTTTTAATGAAACTGTAAATTTTAAAATGATATTTGATATTTATTATCATGTTTATCTCAATGTTCACTTTTTATTTTTATTCAAAATTCATATCTATTATGCAGTAAAGTTATACAAATTAGTATTCGTAGTAAACTTAAAATATAAAATTTCATTTTATAATTCCTGATCATTTGTAATTTATGAAATCATTGGATTTATATTTCATCTGATATATCTGAGATATATTTAACTATATAAATAAATATATAATTTAGTTTTTATAAAGAACATTAAAAAAATTAAAGATTAAAATCAATGTGTGCAAGTTTTAGAAAAAAAATCTATCTTTTTTATTATTTTTATATGACTTTTTACAGTTTTAATTAAAGAATTTTTTATATTTATAGCAAATCATATACCTCCAATATGACTAATCGATAATTTTAGCATTTGATCGATCAATGAAAATGAATGTCAACGTGTTCTAAATATATACCTTCTTAATTGATTTGATATGATTCGTATATTATTTTATCAACAATAAATATTTCGTATATATAATATTATAATCGTATATATAATATATATATCGTATATATAATATTTCGTATATATATATTCGCATATATAAAATTAAAAGGAAAGGATTTAATACCCGAAATATCCTCATAATAAAAATTTAATAG